TGTAGAGATTGATGTGTACGAAAGCCCACAATATAGAGAGCTATGCACACGATAGTCTCACTAGCTAGTTTACAAATGAGGGTTATGGAGGTAGTGCTCTTTGTGGGAGCTTAGGAGTGAATCCCTCAAAAGGTCCACAAAATATTAAACCGGGTGTATAGCTCCGTTAGCTCCTTTTTATTATAAATCTAGTTGTCAACGCTATAAACATAGACAATATCACTTGTATTTATAGCCATCACTTAATAAAACTCTAATAATAAATCTTAGTGTATTCGAATAGTAGATACAATTGATGAATCAAGTAAATCTTTGTGTTGTGTGATTATTTTTGTCTTTCTATTTTATTTTTTTATTTAATTCGTTTGCTAGCATATAATTAACTTTATTTTTGAAACAAGGGCATCTAATTCTTTTTCTTTTTTTTTTTTTTTTTTGAAACTGAGGGATTAATGTATAATTTAGTCTAGGATTAAAGGATTTTGGTTTCAGAAAGCTGGGGTCCAAAATTCCTTGGCCACATCAGTGAGTAGGTCCGTAGAAGAGATTCAAGTAAGGCCCATTTGGCCCACATTCTAATTAGTTTGATTTAAAGCGACTTCACCAGTAGGTGTTTGGCATTAAAAGAGAGGGATTTAGGCGTTGGATTTTGGCTTTCATGTAGACTTTAGTCAAAGTGATTTGTTGAGATACTGCCTTCTTTTTTTCTTAGAATTTTATAGAGACATTTTGTGTGACCCTTTTAGTAGTAAAGTTATTCTTAAATTTGTTAAAATTTTTTATTTTTAAATTTTACTGTTAAACGGTAGTATTTTTTTAACATTTTTCACATACTGATTTAAATTTATTTCTTTAGTTTGGTAAAAAACAAACCATCCATATATACATTTTAAAGATCCATGAGTATATATTTATGTGAAAAGAATTTGAATTAATTATATATCTACATCACTGAATTATTATCGATACTATCATATTAATTGTGATCAAAGCACATTTCGTACGTGTAATTTGATTGTTGGCTAACATTTATTATCTTATACATCGTGAAAGCAACTTTCTCTTTCAAGTGTGTGTGTGAATTGTGAATTAAAAAATTTAGTGAAGTTGCTTTGTCAAGTAAAAGGAGGCATTTAAGGTGACCTTACATATCACATGATGGGTCATGGCATTATGCTCATTAATGCTCTCTAACGTTAACTCTCTACTTTATGCTGATCTTATCCGGATATAATAATATGAACATTCGTTTAAAAATTTTTCCAAAACTTGGCCCTCTTCTAATCAAGTTGAAACTTTTGTCTTCCTATATATAAGCACCGTAATCATCAACTTTTAAAGTTTATAAACTCCCTTTTCTTTCATCACAGTATGATTTTTTTTAAAAAACCCAGATTTTTTGAAACCCAAAAATGGTAAAATCTAATAAGGACCAAATCTATAAAAGCAAAAAATAAAAAGGAAAACATTTATAGTCGGGAATAAAAAATAAAAAATAAAAAGCCAATAATAAAGTATTTTAAATTCGAGAATGATTGGAGGAGCAGTGAAGATTATTTTATGGTTTAGCTAATTAACTAGCTAATGCCCCATTCTCAAGGGAAGAAGGAGAAAAAAAGAAAAAACAAATGCTATAGCTAGAGTCCAAAGTCACTTCAGAGTGCATTAGCCATTCATTAGAACTAAAAGAAAGCAAATTTCTTGTGTCTTGAAAGAAGAAAAATTGTTGGATTAAATACTTCTAGACGTATTTAAGGAATGAATCATGTGTTTTACCCTATATTCATTATAAACGAACATTTCAGTCACTGTAGTTTAAGTTTTTCCAAAGTTAATCTTGTAATTTTGAAAATATTGTATTCTGACCTAAACAATTATTGGGACTCCTTTTCAATTAAATCTCAAATCAATAAATTTTATCAATTAAGTCCCCAACATTTCCTATATTCCTCAATCGTGTACTTTTGTCAATTTTTGTTTTAATAGTTTATGTTCAATGTGCATATTTTATGCACTAAAATGGAATTGATTTAAAAACAAAAACTGACAAAAAAAAACAATTAACATCAACTTTTTTGGTCTCATGTGTATATATATGCACTAAAATGACATTATTTCTAAGAAAATTTGACAAGAATGTTTATGAATATTGACAAAAAGTCTTTGAAACATTTGAGACCAAACCGATGAATTTATAGATTTGAGACTCAATTGAAAATAAATATATATGTTTGAGACTAAATCAAACCTTTTCAATTATTATTATTATTATTATTATTATAATGGAAATGGAAACCTTTAAAGCTTTTTGAATATGGGTCCCTGTTGCTGTCAATCAGTCACTTCCTTATTCCTAAGAATGTATTATTTAAAACTCATTAAATTATTCATATACCTTAAAAAAAAACCTTAAAAGTTTAGAAGAATGTTATTTCCATATTAAACAAAAGCATAAAAAAATAAAAAAAAATATTCAGCATGGGTTTCAGATGACCAACGCAGAGAGAGCAACATTACATGATGGATAACGACATGCCAAATCGTTCTGGCTGCCCCACGGACATCAATTTTCAACGCGCATATGAATAGGTCTATGGGGTCTTTTTTTTTACTATTTATTTAGTAATCACCGTCTTTAATCGGAATGACTATTGACTAATAAATGAAGATGCTATCAGCACTCAGGCCTTTGGTTTGAGGAAGTCGAGAGTCGAAATTCCTCAGCACTGCCGGGAAGCGATGTTTGTCCTTTCATGACATTCAATGAAAGGACCCATTTGGCTTATGTTGACTCGATTTGTTTAAATTTTGTACCTCAACCATGTTGAAGTATTGATTGTGTAAAGTAGGTCTAGCAAATCGCAATTAAAGAAACTTATATTTTCTTCTATGATATTATTTAAGGTTATTAAATTTATCTCTTCGTATCAATAATTTGTTATTCCACTCGTATTTGGATTGACTTTTAGATAAAATTTTTATTAATATATAAGATTTTAAATTTTAAAATTATATTTATTTAAAAAATTAAATTTTATTGTTTTTTTCTTCTATATGATTAGTTTTACTTTTAATAAAAAATAAAAATATTTAAAAAAAGTAAAAAAATTATCTATTCGGTTTGGATTCATAAAAAATTTATTTTTCATTATTTTTATTGGATGTTTAAAACCAATTATAAAAATAGATACATATTTCTTTAATAGTAAGATCAGTTCATTGATCTATATATTTTGAATATGAATAGTTTTATCTCTAATATAAAATAAAAATATTTAAAAAAATAAAAAAATTATCTCTTCAGTTTGAATTCGTAAGAAATTAATTTTTATTTAATATTTAAAACTAATTACAAAAATAGATATATATTTCTCTAACCGTGAGATCAATTCTTTGATCTATGTACTAATAAAACATCGAAACACGTAGTTATTGGTTTGAAAAATAGTAAATCTCTAGTAAAATCTTTCCTTTTCCAACCCGCGTTAAAAAGTGACAAGAGCTTGGATTGATTGCACATCAACATCACTCAATTTATTGCATCCCTGTTTAAATTTATTACGCCTGCAACATTTCTTTTATGAAATTATTATTATTATTATTATTATTGGAATTATAACCTCCAGTTGTTGCATGTGTGAGAGCATGCATGTGAGAGGAGGCGGGTGAGCCACAAAAATGGACCAAATTGCATTGTCAAGGAAAACAAGCATTTAAGTTCAATTTGTACCGTATGATATGGTAGCACCCAATCCGGGTGTATCTGATGATGTTTACGTCCCTCCTGGTTCCTGGTCTTTTCTGGAAAGGGACCTTTCATTTGATTTGAAACCTTTTGGCTTTTGCATAATATTGGCACTTTCCAACTAGATTGAAATCTTTATCTTCTTATCATCATTTTGATTTTTTTGGCTAAAAATCGTCGCATGTCCCTTTGTTTTAAATGGGCCAAATCTAGCTCCAATCTCTTTGCTTCTAATTTTAACTAATTTGAGCATGTAAATGGACCAAATGGGTTAAACGGATCAGATTAAATCATTCTCGATGTTAACTAATTTGAGTATTTAAACTTTAGATTTGGTTTTGAGATTCTTGAACCTTTTCTTTTCTAATATTTGATCAATTCTTTAATTTTTTTTATCATTTATTCAAAAATAATAATCACACAAATAGCTTTATGAAATTATTCAGTAAAATTTATACAAAACTCTTTCAAAAAATTTAGAATCATTTCGAATCATTTTTTATTTTTCTTAATTTTTTATGTTTTTAATATTTAAAAAAAAAACAAATGTATTTTTCAATTTTGAAAAAAATTGAAATTCTTTAAGAAAATTGATTATATTTTTTCAATGTGCGTGCAAAAGCTCAATTTAAAATACTAAAAACTAATTTTTTTAGAAAAGAAGGTAAGAGCTAAAAATCTTTGGATGGATTAAATCTCAAAAAAATAAAAAGTTTCAGAATTCCAAAAAAAAGTAAATAAATCACTTTTTTAGCATGCAATTCTTGAATATAAATATCAAGATTCGAATTTAAAAATATAAGAAAAATAGCAAATCTTACTATTGTGGATTATCTATATTATTACGATAAAACTTAATTATGGTTAAATTATCCACTTGTTTTTGCCGAGCTGTTCACTTGCCTGGTTCTGACGACTCCTTCTCCTACCCCTGCCTGACACCAACAACAACTCACCACACCTAATCCGTTTCTACAAAGAAAAATGAAAGGAAAAAAAAAAAAAATCCGTCTGAGAAAAAATATAAATAAAAAGAAAGCACTTATTTAATACGTCATCCAAAAAAAGAAGTCTCAACTTCCTCGCTATCACGTTCACGTTGACAAAACATATACACTGCCCACACTCAAAAAATAAAGTTAAAAAAACCAATCTATCTCTGAGAAAATGCAATTCTTCGCCATTTTTCCTCTCTGAAAGAATTTTCCCTCACTTTCCCGAGGAAAAAAGTGGGGAAGAGAAAGTCCAATTCCTCATGAGCCGAAACCACCACAATCCATCCGAACTCCCTGACTTGCCCGCCAGCAATGGCGGTTCGGACGCTGGCTCCGATCAAACTTTCCACTCGATCCGCGACCGTTTTCCTTTTAAACGAAACCCTAACTACAGCACTAACAGTTCAGCCAAATCAAGTAAATCACCTCTAGATCGGCCTGATCGCCGCAGCAGATGGCACCACTACACAAACAGGAACAACAACCGCAAGTGGTTGTTCTCTTGTATTCCATTCCGCGGCATTTATTTGTTCTACTTTGTGATATTTTTCTCTGTTTTCGCTTTCGTTTTGGCGTCTATTTTGTTGCAGAGCTCGATTACCGGTATGGTTGTGTTTAGTAAAGGGTGGATTGATCATCGGAGATCGATTAGAGAAGGTTTGAAATCAGGTACTACATTGAAATTCGTGCCCGGTTTAAGATCACGGATGCTTTTGGAAGGTCATGGTCTTGATCATGTTAGACCGTGGGATCATAGAGTTGGCCTCCGCCCTCCCAGACTCGCCGTGGTAAGTTTCCGAGACTGTTTAGCTTTAGGTTTTCTTTTTTCAATTTTTTTGTTCAATAGATGAGAAATGCTACTTTAGCAGAAAATTAATATGAACAGATTACAAGAAAATTGCGAGTCATTAGAGAAGTGGGACCCACTACTCTAATGGTTTGTGATTTTCTTGCGATTTAGTTTTGTTGTTGTTGTTTCCTACAAATTTAATTGGGAAATTGTTCAGTCATCAGTGAGTTTGGAGTGTATTCCTTCTTGTTGGCATGCAAGTGGGACCCGTGATAGTAGTTAATCATGGACCCTACTTGTATGCGAGGGAGAGGGAGCGTCCTTCTGGAGTACTGGATGCTTCTGTGATTTATGTTGTTATGGCTGCAATGAAGTTGGAGAAATGACAGCGAATTTTAATATGGAAATGTATTTTTTGGTTTAAGTTGGAGTTGTTCGTCGGTAGAGGCGGTGGGATGGTTTTTTAAGATAGTTTGGCTGTATAAAATGGGAATGCATGGGACGCCTCCAATGACTAATGTGATTAAATTGAAGTACGGAGATGGAATAGGAAGAAAGGTTAGCCAGAAATTGTGAAGTGATTAAGAATGATCCTGCATCATGATAATTTAAAGAAAGAAAGTTTAGCTTGAGGGAAGTGAGTGGAGGTTGTCAATTCAAGTAGCCAGCCCAACAAGTATGGGACTGATGTTTATTTGAGTTGAGTTTCTTAGGCTTTAGAAACCTTTTTAATGAAGCAATTACAAGTTTATTATTAAAATATATGCAGGTGAAGCAGTTTAGATTTTCTAAGAATTTATAAAGTAAGAGGAAGTTAGGTCATGTTGCATTATTTTGCCAAGTTAGGTCATGTTGCATTATTTTTCCTTAGTTATCTTCTTTATCTTTTTATTAGACATGTGGACCAAGAAATACATTTTTCTGACACATGCTTGTAGCAAAAGGTCTGGTTTTTTTCAAAGACTTCATCTGCATGTTTTTTATGTAATGAACTTTTGTGAGCATGTTGTATTTTAATGGTTCTTGTCTGATCATATTCAGATATTAGGAAACATGAAGAAAGATCCGCAGTCATTGATGTTGCTTAGTGTGATGAAGAATTTGCAGAAACTTGGTTATGCACTTAAGGTGAATTTTTCAGGCTGTTCTTGTATGATTTCCCTGACATTTCTATGTAGATTTTGACATTTTCTTGCTGCTAATAGCTAATGCTTTGTTGCAATATGTGACTGCATATAAATTTCACATCACCTCTTTAACAGGTTGATAATATTTGGCTTATTAAGGAAGCATGAATACAAATTTATGCATCTCCCCTTTCAAAATAAGTTAGAATTGTTTAGGCACCTAACAATACCTATTTGACAGATATATGCAGTGGGGAATGGTAAAACAAGAACAATTTGGGAGGAAATAGGACGACGGGTATCAATTTTAAGACCAGAGGAATATGACCGTATTGATTGGTCCATGTACGTTTCTTTCTCTTAATGTTGCGGTTTTACTCAACTTTGTTTTCTATGTATGGTTTTTGTTTTGGAAAGTGATTAAGACAGCCAGGAACTTTCTATTTGTATTTATTTTTTCAGTAAGTTACTTGGTATTGTTAATATACATGTACATTTTTTCACAGTTTTCAAGGTATTATTGTCGATTCTCTTGAAGCCAAAGAGGCAGTTTCAAGGTGTGTTTGCTTTCTTAATCCTTACATAAATCCCTAAAGTTTAGAATTCTTTTTTAATGCTTTGGTGTTTGTTCATTGCCTTGGTGGATTATGCACAGTATGCATGCGTGCAGAATTAAACAGACATCCACTTTGTGGGACGTTTTTCAAACAATATATGCCTTTTGTCGAGTAGAATGCTTTAGCTACACACATGACATTGGACACAATATACAGATATAGGAGCAAATGAAATTTGAAGTGATCAACAAGATTTTTTGGGTTAGGATCCTAATGAAATTTGGAAACATGGGATCTTGCACTTATCTGCAACTTGCAGGTATTTAGATTGAGGTTATAGTCTAGATGTGGCTCTGTTCTTGGGTGTTGGATACTGTAATATGTGTAACTTGAACAGATTACAGTATTTTAGACACGAAGAGAGGGAGTTGAGGGTGCATTAGGAGTTCTTTTGGTCGTTTTTGAAGTTATTCATAAGAATAAGGATAAGAACTGTTTTGGGCAAACCTTTTATAGCACTAGTGAAAACAGAGGTGATTCTGCGGGTAATAGAAGAGTTAGTTATATGGAAGAAAATAAAATAATTTGAATTTGTAGTGGAATTACCTAAAGTGTGTGCTTAGAACTCTCTGTATTTGCAAGTATGAAGATTTAGATAACTGGTTGTCTTTGTTTGGGATGCTATGATTAGTGACTTCTTTATTTATGCAGCCTCATGCAGGAGCCATTTCAGTCAATACCACTTGTATGGATAATCCAAGAAGATACCCTTGCAAATCGTCTTCCATTGTATCAGGATATGGACTTGCAGCATTTGTTGTCTTATTGGAGGAGTACTTTTCACAGGGCTAATGTTGTTGTATTTCCAGACTTTGCTTTGCCGGTAAAAATGTAACCTCTGTATGTAATTACATCTTATTTCTAGCAAGTCTTGTATAGAAAATCTTATGCTATTTTTCAATTTACATTCCTTTCTGTATCAGATGTTATATAGTGTGCTTGACACTGGAAACTTCCTCGTGATTCCTGGATCACCAGTAGATGTGTGGGCTGCTGAAAGCTACGGTAAGACCCATGCCAAGCATCAGTTAAGGGTGGACCATGGATTCAGCAAAGACGATTTGGTGGTTCTAGTTGTCGGGAGTTCTTTCTTCTATGATGAGCTATCATGGGACTATGCCGTGGCAATGCATACTCTAGGACCTCTACTAGCCAAATATGCAAGGAGCAAAAATGCTGAAGGATCTTTTAAATTTGTTTTCTTATGCGGTAATTCAACCGATGATGATGCTTTACAGGTACTCAACTTTACTTCTCTTGTGATATCATGTTTTAAGCTCCTTATATCTGCGCTAATCGGTTAAGTGCTTTCATTTATTAAGTGATGCAGTGATAACTTGTACAATGGCACAAGTTTGGCCATGCTAGTCTCCTATTGTCTATTTGATTACTTGACTGCATAAGAATGGGCTTAACTAAAAGAATGCCCGGGGAAATATATACATGAATTGACCTTGATATTTCATCAAGTTTTCCATTTGAATCTTGTTTTACACATTGCTATCAAAGTATTGTCAATTTATTAGTTGAATACTCCATCCAACCCAATTGAGTTTCTTGTTCAGTACTTCTCTTTTGTGGCTGCATCTATTATGAGTGGTTATTACTTCAGAATAGAATTTATGGAAGTATATGCCTTCTCTTACCTGATAATTCAAACATAACAGTAAATAGTTCTTGCTTTATAGTGTATTCTCAAAGGAGAGGCTTATGTCTCTTTTAGGAAGAAAAAACAGAGAGAGATGGGGGTGATGCTTGTTTTTCAAATTAATATCATTTTCTGTTCAATTTCATGCTTTGCTTAACTAATAGTTATTTTTCCTTTTTGTGTAGGAAGTTGTTGCTCGTCTAGGACTTCATCATGGCTCTGTGCGGCATTATGGCCTGAATGGTGATGCCAACAGCGTGTTATTAGTGGCAGATATTGTTCTTTATGGTTCTTCCCAAGATGAACAGGGTTTTCCTCCTTTACTTATCCGAGCTATGACCTTTGGAATCCCAGTGATCGCACCTGATATTCCTACCCTGAAAAAATACGTGAGTATGTTCAAGTTTCTGTGGTCTTGATTCCTTCTTTGGTAGATTACAAAGAGACACCTATCTCTGTTTTTGTTTTCCTTTGAAGAGATTGACAAATAGATTTCTTAAAATAACAGATTAGTGATGGATCCCATGGAATATTTTTCTCAAAATATAACCCCGAAGCATTGATGCGGGCTTTCTCGCTTTTGATATCGAATGGGAAACTTTCTGAATTTGCTCAAACTGTTGCTTTCTCTGGAAGACTGCTTGCTAAGAACATGCTTGCATCAGAATGTATAACTGGTTACGCAAGGCTATTGGAGAATATGCTTAGTTTTCCATCAGACACGTTGTTGCCTGGTCCAGTGTCTAAGCTTTATCAGAGGGAATGGGAATGGAACTTGTTTAGTAAGGAACTAGGACAGGAAACTGATGATTTGTCAGGCATGGATGATAGTGTTCTTTCTATCAGGAAAACCAGTGTTGTTTATTCCCTTGAGAAAAAATGGAGCAATCTTGTTAATTCAACTAGCATCTCTGAGAATGGAACTGAAATTCGAGTACCAGATATCCCAACAGAATCAGATTGGGATGTTTTGAGGGAAATAGAAAGCTTTCAAGAATATGAGACAGTGGAAACAGCGGAGGTATGTTATTCCTCTCTGGGGTTGTGGCTCAGACTATATCTATTTTCTTATTTCTCCAGTTTGTCTTGATTATTTTTTCGGGTTCATGTCTGTGCAATTTTCTTGAAAAGACAGCTGAAATGGAGATTTATTTCCTGTGTAGCTTGAGGAAAGAATGGATAAAAGTCATGGTCTGTGGGATGAGGTATACCGCAATACTCGAAAATCTGAAAAGCTTAAGTTTGAAGCAAATGAAAGGGATGAAGGAGAGCTAGAAAGAACAGGCCAGCCAGTATGCATTTATGAGATGTATGATGGAGCTGGGGCCTGGCCATTTTTGCATCATGGATCTTTATACCGTGGCTTAAGTCTTGTAAGTTCCTTCCAACCATATTTGGAACTACTTTTTTTTTTTTTTCTATATATATATATATATATATATTCCTTTTAGTACTTAGCCACATTTCGTATTTTTTTTGTTGCTTTTTGGGACATTTTGCTTCCATTTCTTGTTCTTTCTTTTTAATAAGCTTGCATATATATGCTATTTTCTGGATATAATAGTCAGAGTGTATGAGCTTTTTGCAACTGGTCTTGTTTCTTGCTTCCTGAAATGACAAATGATAAATACAGTAACCGAACTGTATGTTGCATGTCCTGAAATGACAAATGACCCATAATTTCTTTTTTGTTTTGGTTTTGTAACTTTCAACTAATGGTTCTTCATAAAGATTTAAGTTGTTTGTCGCTTTGTTTGGAGGTGCTGTAATTGTCCAAGTGCTTTATTCCAATGTAAAGAAACCTTATAATTGGTGTTTTTGAATTGTTTGTAAGATGTGATCCTGTAGGAGCAGTAATGCTTTAAGTAGTTTTGTTTTTCTTAACCATGCTACATTTATATCTGTTAGTCTACAAAAGCTCGGAGATCAAGATCTGATGACGTGGATGCAGTTGCCCGGCTTCCCCTCCTGAATGACAGTTACTATCAGAATATATTATGCGATGTGGGAGGGATGTTTGCTATTGCAAACAGGGTGGATGATATTCACAAGAGACCTTGGATTGGGTTTCAATCATGGCATGCTGCTGGTAGGAAGGTATCTTTTATGCCAGTGGAATTATAGTGTAAATTTTTGCAATTGCGGGATTATATACGTCAAATTTAGGTGCTTACTTTTCTAAGTTGCAATCAGCTTCTTGGATAAATTGATGTGGAATTCGAGATCGCACACACCAGTTAGCACGTTTCTGTAGAAAATGGTAGTATCTGCTTAAAATAATGTTTTTACAGGATTGCAGTTATCGCCTGGCCTTTTTGTTGATTCAGGTTTCATTGTCATATAAAGCTGAAAAAGTTCTAGAAGAAAAGATACTAGAAGAAAATAAAGATGTAATTTACTTCTGGGCCCGTTTGGACATGGATGGTGAAGTTACCGGAAGCAATGTTGAACTCACTTTCTGGTCCATGTGTGACATCTTAAATGGAGGACGCTGCAGGTATGCTTCAAATAGTCGGTGTTCATGCTCAGGTCATGTTGCACTGTGTTTTAATCGATGTCAGAGATTGTCCATCCATTCTGTGGTATCTGTCTCTTGCCACACATACCTTACAAAGTCTTCAATTATTATTATTATTTTTTTCCCATTCTGTCTCTACCTCGCCAAAGTCTTTCATTCTTTATCCAAAATCATGGCAAAATGGTTTCGAATGCCACTGGTACATTTGCTTTTATACTATTGCTGAAATCATTTGTGGAAAAGGCAGGTCTGACCATCTTCATTTTAGCTTTCTGGGGCAGAAAGAAGATGGGTAAAGGCTAATTACATATGCCCCATTGTAATTGCACTTGCTTTTTAGATTATTATTTATCCAGGCGAGAGCTTTTTTTCTCCCAAAGCCAGAATTTTAGCTACTGGCTTTTGAATGCATGCAGAACTGCTTTTGAAGATGCCTTCCGCCAGATGTATGACTTGCCATCATATCTTGAAGTTCTTCCTCCAATGCCAGAAGATGGAGGTCACTGGTCTGCCCTGCATAGCTGGGTCATGCCAACCCCTTTCTTTCTGGAGTTCATTATGTTTTCACGGTAATTTACAAAGGATGCTATTTTTAACCCAAGCCAGTTTCCTGTCACATTGATGAAATGTTATGTCAGAGGCACTAACATTAGTTGCAACTCGAACAATAGTTTGACGTTTTATAATCTAATTGCAGAATGTTTGTTGATTCTCTTGATGCTCTGCATTCCAACTCTAGCCAAATGAACAAGTGTTTGTTGAGTTTCTCAGAGCTCGAGGTAAGATACATGGATAGTAGACATCCTGCTTTATATGTTTCAGAGAGATTATAAACCATCATCTCATTCATGAATACACTTATTTAATGATACACAGGAAAAGCATTGTTATTGTCGGATAATGGAAGTCCTCATTAATGTTTGGGCTTATCATAGTGCAAGAAGGATGTTTTACATAGATCCGCACACTGGTTCGGTAAAAGAGCAGCACCCTATTGAGCAAAGAAAGGGAATTATGTGGGAAAAGTACTTCAATCTTACGGTATTGAAGAGTATGGATGAAGATCTTGCAGAGGCAGCAGATGATGGAGATCATCCAAGGGAGAGGTGGCTGTGGCCACTAACAGGAGAAGTGCATTGGCAAGGGATTTATGAGAGGGAGAGGGAAGAGAAATATAGGCTGAAAATGGACAAGAAGAGGAAAACAAGAGAGAGACTATTTGAAAGACTGAAGTCTGGATACAAACAGAAACCACTTGTGAGAAAAAAGCTTAGAGTCTGAATCCCTAATGGCCAATTCTGACCGCGGAATATGCTGGACTCCCAGGTCCTTACATAGCTGCTGAATATATTTTTTCTAAACTTCACAGATGGACAGGGATCTTGCAGATGGTACGACACGAGAAGCTTATTTTTTTCCATCCATTCGTTTTCACCACACACACAATTAATGGAGTAAAGGGGAGAAGGAAACTAGCTTCCATCTTATTGCAGCTCACAATTTTGGGCATTTTTGCACGAAACTCTGACCGGCTCGACTATATCAGGCTTTTGAGCGGTACCATGCATTAGTTGGAACTCTTTTCTGACCATTCAAATTACTTGGTTGAGATATTCAACTAAACCACATATTCTTTCTTGTTGTATAGTCTCTTGGCAATGTAGAGGCAATTTTGTTGAAAAGAAATACTAGTTCTATTCCCTATTCTGACGCGCTGCAAATGAGCAAAATGTTTGCTTGTACCGAGACGAACTGTCTTATTTTTTTGAGGAAAAAGAGGTTACACAGTGGGTTCATGCATATGAAACGTTTATTCGCAGCTTGGTTCAATTACAAAATGAATGATTCCCCACAAATTGATTGGATAATTATCCTCTAGTTCTCTTTCGCTGTATTTCTAGAAAATTCATAGATATGTTTTGTTAGAAATAAAATTTGACTTTAATTAAATAATTATTATAAATCTAAATGAAGATTTTACTTCAATTTAACTTTTCACTTGTTAATGCGGATTTGTTGGTCCTATCTTCCTTCTTAAAAAAACTCTTTTGAGTAATTTTCTACTAAGCATTTTTCTAATTTAACTTATTTTTATTGCAAGTTATTTTAAAATATTTTTTAAATTATAATTTAAAATAAAAAGTCAATTTCTATAAATCATGCCAAATGACACCTTGGCAAACTCCGGTTCTTGGAACTTTTGCCCCCTCGGACCTTCATTTTTAACTTGAAGTTTCTTAGCAAACATCGACGTACCAATTGGACCCGTATTAAAATTGGGTCAATCGGGCCTAGTAAAACCTCCTTCCATGAATTTGCCTGGGCCTATAGTCTATGTATAATTATTTTTTTAAAAGGCCCGGCCCATTTGAGTATATTGTTTTATCTATCACCCTAAAAACTTGAAAAATTTACAAAACCCTCCCGCCCTCGCCCCGGGGCCAATGGTTGGACTTGTTAATGGTATTTTCCAGTGTCTGTCGAGACTCTTGTCTGTTTGTATTTTTTTTTAGGGTTGACGCCATAACCCAAAACCTAATCCCCTGTCAGCGTCTCCGTCTCCGTCTCCGTCTCTGTCTCTCCGAAATATCAGGTAATCTTCGCTCTCATCTCCCTCTCCCTCTAAAGCACTCCATATTTTGCTTCTATACTTCAATTCCGTCACTCATTTCTACTGTCACCTTCTGTGTAAATGTACTTACTAGCTTTAGCTGCAATGTAACCAAGTACTACTTTTTTTTTATTTTCGTTTGTGGGTGTGTTTTGAGTAAAAGACAGTATTGGTCGGGTTTTTTTTTTTAATGGGGTTTGTTTGGTAGTGAGAAATGTGTTAAATGTTGGAGAATTGGCTTTGTGTTGTTTGGTTTGTTATAAAACTAAGGGAATTGAGCAAAAATAAATGCAAAATTGTTGAACTTTTGAGTATTTGTTTATTGAAAATGTAAAATATGCTGGTTGAGAGTGGAACTGATGATGCGTTCTCAAGTTCCTAATTTGATGTTCTCACCTGATACCAGCCTGCAACTATGCTTTTGATAAAATGGAGTCATGGCTATATGATTATTTGATAAGTTTTTCCTATGAAAATTTATGTCTTTACTCTGAAATTATTTGTCTTTGATGATTATGTTTTCAATCATGTAGGTTTGTATGCTAGAACGAGGTGGGGTTTTTGATCATCATGCATGCTGTAAAGGGTGGCTGGGTTGGCCAAACATTTGCCTTAGCTAAGTGCAATGATTCTGGAGGGAAGAAGTCTCGGATTCGGCGCTCGAAGGAGGAGAGGAAGGGAATGGTTGAATCCTTTATAAAAAAGTAATATGATGATTCCACTTCAATGAATAGTTGCTGTTATATTAATTATCATGGTCCGAAGATGATTGCTAAAATTATTGGAATAATTACTTTTTCCTATTTATTTCTGATTAATGCAATGAAATTGCTTCTCTTGTATGTCGTTCACTAATACTGAAAGTTATGAGTGCTTGCTCAGATGCATGCGCACTCAAATGCTCATATACAGACATATGCTCTGAATAAATCAGCTCAGAGGCTGACTCTACAGCATGGTAGGTCAGCTCTTCGCCTGCTTTTCCTGGAAGTTGACTTTTGGTAGGTGTATAGGTTTATATAATATGGTTTGCATCAAGTATGTCATACCAAATGAAAGCTGTTTGCTTTTTTATGACATATCTATGATGAGCCAGTCTACATTTGGTTATATCAACCCTTATATAATTATCTTCTTTTTGTTTCTCTTTGCAAAGTTCTTGGAGAAGTAGACTTGGGAATCCATTCATTTGGTAGACTTTCTTTCAGGTACCAGAGATTAAACAATGGGAATTTTCCATCTCTTAATATCACGCACAAGGAAGTAGGTGGGTCCTTTTATACTGTCCGGGAGATTGTTCGGGAGATAATCCAAGAAAACAGAGTGCTGGGTCCTGGTAAGTTGCCTCTAGAGGAGCAGCTTAATGATCAGTTTGTGGAGCAGTACCCATTGGGTACAATTTCCACAGAACCTCAAATTCCTCTGTCCATGTCACCAAATGGAAGTCCTGTACCTGATCAGCATGAGAGCTCAAGTGAAGTGCTTGATTTAATTTCTGAGCAACATGCTGAGCCTGAACAGCAGGGATTCGATAATGGCAAAATCATTAGTGGGAGTCATACAATTGTGAAGAATGCAGAAACTGATAAGCCAAAAGTTGTGGAGGTTCATGTTACTGAACCTCTGGAAACAGAGAAAGGAATGGAAGAAGTGGCAACATCAAGTGCTAAAGTAACTCAAATGGTAGATGTAATGGTAGAGACATTTCCATTGCCACCTGATACCAAGTCAGCTATAAACTTGAATGGAAATTCCATTGATGTACGGGAGGTAAATGGGACTTTAGAAAAAAATCTTGAAAAGGTGCTCTTGGAGCCAGAACATGACCCAGGAAATGGCATTTCTTTGCCAGATGGAATGAGCTCCTTGCATGATAGCAGTTTGCTAGATGATAAAGAAGTGGAAAAGTCAGCAGTTCCATTGTTCGAACAAAGCTCTGATTTGGTGTATGAGAAAGCAGCAGAAAGTCTTGCAGATTCGGCAATGGGAAGCTTGAATGCATCTGCCACCAAAGAAGGTTTTGTGCAGGATGCTGAGGCTGACATAGATGTGAAGGTGAAGTCATCACATGATGATAAGGCAATTGCCGAAACTGAGGTGAGTTTTCTTCAATACTATGCAGCAATTTTGCTGTTGGAGCTCTTTACTCTCCCCTTCTTTGATTTTATATTTCTTTCCTTTCCTTTCCTGTGTTCTCTTTTTCAAGATTCTTGCAACTTGCATATCGTCGTTGGCTGCTAAAAGGCATTTGAAATCTAGCAATCTTCAACTGCTTTGCCATTATTTTATTCTCTACTGGTGCATTAATTCTATTCAATTTCTTGGTTTAACACAAGAGGCAGAGATATATTTATTTTCATCTAAAAGTTAATTCACTTAATATCCAAGGTGATATTTGTACTTGGATGAGTGCATGGTTGCACAGACAATGTACCTGCTATGAGCATAATAATTTTTCCATTTGAAAACATGGGAGAGAATCTGAGCATGAAGCTACTGCTGGCCCTTTTAGCAGGTTGTTAATGCCAGAAATGGCATCGAAACCAAATCTTTGGATGGCAATTGCATCACTGTTGGTAACAGTCAGTCAACAGCCAAAGAAGTTGAGATGAAAGATAAAGCTGCAGTTCAACATGGTCGAGACTCTCAGAAACAAAGCAGTCCAACCTTAAACAGAATTAATCTGTAAGTATGAGTAGCGACCATCTCTCTAAACTCATTGCTTTTATTTGCCATTCTCTCTAATTCTTTTACTACAGTATTTCTAGATGTTGGTAAACTGATTAGCCTTCTGCTTTGTTTCCATGAGCAGCGAATCGTGGGGAGAGGTTTCTAAGAATCAACCAGAACCGGAAACTAACCCACTCTGGGCCATTTTTAAATCGTTCTTAGCTGCCTTTTTGAAATTTTGGTCTGAATAAATCCTTTTGTAGTGTCGTTATATTGTTCACAGTTTTTGCAGAGTGGATTCAACTTTACCTGCCATAGCAGTGCATCATGTTTCCCTGTTTATATCAAGAGTGGTTGTTACTTGTTAGTAGTTGTTTTTATTGATTCGTAACTTTTCCTTTCTCCCACTTTACTAGACCATGATGATCATGAGAGCTAATTGCAATGGTTGGCATCCCCATTTTTGGGTTATAATGGGAAATCCCCTAGGAATCAATTCAACCTATTTCCAAGCTACTTGGCTATCAAATCATGCAATTGAACTGTAAATTTGGGGAAATTGCCAGTCAGTACTTATATGATAGAATAAATGTCCAATCTGTTATTATATTTTAAATAAATTAATTATATTTTTGTACATGAAGTGAGTTCTTAATTTATTTTTCATGATATTGTTTGGCAAAATTATCAAAAATCATCACGTGACACGATAAATTTGATTTTGAAAATGCTTCACGGATAAGCAGGCATGTGTAAGTCATCAGCTCATCATCAGCCAAGGATAAACACCAATCATTTTCTTCTCCTCCTCCTCCCCTTTTCTTTCAAAAATTCGGCCAAAAACATCTAAAACAGCCAATTCTGTCACTTTTTGGTTCACATGTAAAATCTTCACTTTTTTTTTTTTTTTTTTTTTGGCCAAAACCGTTATGTTTCATTTAAAATCAAGTCCTAATCTGTTGATATAAATCCCTAAATCTTAAAATCAATTTTTTTTCACATCTCTCTCTGTCTCTCTCTCTCAATATCAAGTCGTAATTTACTGATCATAATTAAATCTGTCAATTTTTTTTTTCATTTTTTGGCTACCCACAACCTTAAAACACCTTATGATCATCAAAATTTAAGCTTAACACCATAAATTTATAACTTTTTAACCAAAAAATGGGTTTAGTGCTTGTTTTTTGTCGTATTATGACCAACTCTGACCAACGCTGGAAAGAGGGTGGTGATGGGTGGTGATTTACGCATGTCCATTCAGTTGAGAAGCATTTTCTGTATACAATTGATTAAGTACAAATTATGTGATATCAAAATATATATTATAAACTCAATTATAAATACAAACATATAATTAAATCATTTTAAAATTTTAAAAGAGATCCAACACTTATCTAATTATATAAGAACATATTTAGCCATTGCTCATAAACTTTGTATTTGACTCATCCCAACTTGCTTTTTTTCCCCTCTCCTTTCCAGAATGTGGACGTGTTTTGAGTTATTATTTTTTGATTTACTAGGGATATACTAAGTTTTGACCTCTATCTCCCCTTTGATTTTTGAATTTTTATTCCACCTCTCTGTAGGATTTAATTTAACTTGAAACCTCTAAATCGGAAAGTCAAATCTTGATCAACAATGACTTTATGCCCCTTTTTTTCCAAGCTTTGAAGATTGGAGAAGTGGAGTCGTAGTATGTTATGCAAAATTGTTTCAAAAATTAAATTTGTTAGTTTATATAAGTACAGGTTTTTGGTAAAAAAAAAAAATCTGGCACTTATTGTTAGGCATTTACTTATAATTATGTTTTGGTAAACAAATCTGGAAATACTTTTACGGAGACAGGATCGTTATTCTGAAGACCTCGACCAGTTTTAGCATAACTTTAGTGGGAATTATGAAGGCCTGGGCCAGTGCAAAAATCACCATGGGCCGGGCATAAGATTATACAATACGTGTTGATTGTTGCCTCGATTTTTTACGTTAGAAGCAACAAGCATAAATCATAATCTTAATATTATTTCAATTTCTAAACTATATATACTTATAAATAAATTGGTACTAATTTTTTCATAGTTTTTATTTCTTAGATTTCTTATCTGCAACTATTAACTATTACCAAAGAGCTTATAGCTCGGTGATAATAGTTTCTTACAACAAGAGATCACGGATTCAAATCCTAACGGATTAGATCTAGTAGAGGTTTTGGGTATGTGAGTTAAAAAAATTTATTAAATATTAAATCTTAAAAGATAATTCAATTTTATTTACTAATTTTATATTATAAAAATCAAACAAATGGATTCAACATAACTTAATATCAAACTTTATATTAAATTATTCAAATATTAAAAATTAAATATTTTGCTATAATAATTATTCATTTATAAATAATAAAAACAAATCATGTAAAATATACTAAAGAATAAAAAAAAATTACCAATACGAATCTATATCTATATATGTATATGTATGTATGTAATATACACACATATACCTAAATCTATATAAGAGAATTAATTACGCTAACTTACCCCCCCTGAATTAAGATCTAAACACAGATTATGCTGTCACGGGTTTATCTTCAGTAAGGGGATTGATTTGTGACTTTTCAAGTAATTGACTGCGTGGCTTTGCTTATAACATTGCATATATTTTGTGTTGAATGCAGAATTGTAGGGGATCTTGATTGGTTTAGAGATATCTTAGAATAATAAATTAAGAAAAGTTGAATTTGATATTGATTCTGAATTGACTATTTATCTTATAATTAATAAAGATCAATTGTCATTATTTTATAATCAGATAACCATTTTCATTCAAAAAAGTCGAATTTTGCCATATCTATCGTGGCGGAAATAGATATGCAAACTGGTTAGCTAATTTTCTATATGTCGAAATCCATCATTTTTCAGAAACTATTGTAGGCTATTTAAATTTTGTATTAAACGATGTTTGTAGGATTTATTTCTCTAGAATGATCTAATTCTATTCTTCTAGGCATTTCCCTCATTCCTTTCAACACACACCAAAGAAAAGAAAAACAATGACTGCTATAATCAAATTATTAATATATGTAATATTGATTTGATAGTATTGTCTTTGATACTTGTAATTTAGATCCACAGTCCTTTAAATCTTAGACCCATCACAAGCCGTGGAACATGAACGTGTAATTACAATCATAATGCATCCAATTTCAGGACATCAAAGGAAAAGAAAAGGAAAAAAAGAAAGAAAAAAAAGTGGTATATATATATATATATAGCAGGAAGAATATATATATCCACTGGTTTAGCTAGGCGACCACCCCAGAGGAGGAGAAACCAACCTTCTTGATTGACCTAAAAAACATTTCCACCTCCTCACGGTTCATAACCTCAAAGAAGTGCAGATTTGACTGTTTCCTTTTGCATGAACCTTGGCTCCTTCTTGGTTTCTTTGGTGCTGGTGGACAGATTAACAAGGCCGGAATCTTGTTTTGAGCTGATGTTGGTGTGCAGCACTCATCTTCCGTATCTTCATGATCAGTGATCTTTATCGCTTTCAATCCAAGTTTTGGCATGTTTTGGAAGAGTTCTTCATCGTTAGGCATGGTTCTTTGACAGGAGGAGGAGCAGGAGGAGGTGGTGGGGTTACCACCTAGAAACGGAGGGAATAAATCACTGTGAGAAAAAGAGCTAGCTAGGTGGGGATTATAACAGGATAGGGAGAGAGAAATTAAGAGAGGTTGTTGGTTGTGTGTTAATAGTTTTTGGTAAAAAGACAATGAAAGAGTATCTGTTCTTAAAATTTATTAACTTATGATTTTTGTACAGAAAATTTCCATTCAAAGCATCCGAGAAGCTGTATAATAAGGATGGTAGGATGGTAGCTAAGGAATTTATAAATTAGCTGAGACTTTATTAGGAACCTTCTTTCTGAATATTGCTATATATATTTATTGGCCCCGTTTATTTTCCAAACTTTCTACTTATTACTATATTTTATTCTTTTTTCTAATTATGATAAGGAATTTTTCCGGTCATTTTTTGCACATCAAGATAGATTAACTCAGTTTCTTCGTGTCATCTTTGGGTTTAAAGATAACCTAATTAACACTCTCTCAATATTTTTCTCTCAAAAAATCCCTTTTAAATTTTAGTGTATATATATATATATATTGTTAAAAAAACAGTAAAATATCACGAAAATAATATAACCAGAAAGTTGAGTGCGTAAAACGATCCATGTTGTCATTTTCTGTATTCGTTATATTTTCTTTTCAAAAATCATACCTGATTTGGTTGTCACTCGTCATATTCCACTTACAAGCGTTAAATCTTGATGAGTTACTCACCAGATGGAGTTGCCTAATATTGCACTCAACATTAAAATGATTTAATTTATTTTTTTGAAAAAAATGACCCATCATGTTTTAAATTTCACCATTAATTTTGAATCTAACGACACGGATTAGATGAGAAAATAAAATATTAAGAACTTAAATTATTTTTAATTTAGATTTATTGGATATATATATATATATATATATAAGAAATATGAGAAGATTTCAATCTCTATTAATTAGTACAACTTTAGGTCTTTTTTTAGAAAAGACAAGATATATATGTGTGTACTATATTTTGCTGCCTCAGTAATTGCTTGAAATCTTGGTAGGGACGGGCCGGGGCAGAATTTTTCACCTCAAAATCTCATTATGGGAATGTTTTAGGAAGTTTTAGATCATCATATAATATAATCTGTAGAAAAGCTCAATGTTATGTTATTTAAACACTTCACCATTCATATATGAGTTGGGCTAGCTAGCGTAAGAAAAACCTAAACTTTCTTAGAGATCGATCACTTTGTTTAGGGTGTTAATTTTAGAAATATATTAAATCGTTTTAGAGGCCTGAATATGATCATTTGTCTCACGCATTTCAATGAAGATGCAAACATAATTAATTGTTTTATTCGGGTAATTATATGTAATATTCAATGTACAAGTCCCGTTAAGACCCATTGTGAAGCTCGCAAGCGGATCCATCAAACAAAGTATTTAACCCAAACACTCCTCTATAACGATTACACTATTAGGAGTCCATGCTTATACACACTTCGAGGTAGAGATGGTAACCGGTTGGATATTGGACTCCTTAATTCAATTCTTATCTAGTTCATTTGAAAAATATCATGTTTATATTTATTAAGAAATTACATTTTAGACTCATATCTTGAGTAATTATTATATATTTACAATAAATATTTCATGGATCTCCTATTAAAGAGAAAAATAGACATAAAAAAAAAAAAAATCACATCTGATCTTACTAAAAGTGATAAAAATATTTCCACTTCAATTTTTTTTTTAATTTCTCTCTCTCTCTCTCTCTCTCTCTCTCTCTCTCTCTCTCTTCTCTCTTTTCAATAAAGTAAGTATTGTTAGTTACTTAGTTACTCCATGACTAATATAAAATTTGTCATCTCATTTGTACCTAACTCAAATACAAAACGTAAAAAGACTAAACTAAATAGAAATTTCTTAAACAATTAGGACAAATAAAATAACTACAACCAAAGTAGAAATAAAGATAATTAGGCTTTTTTATTATTTTATTCTTTAAGAAATTATTAATTTCACATGCTCATTTAATATTCATTTAATACATGCTAAAAATAATTTATCAAATTATTTCATTTTAGTCTTTATAGTTTTAAAAAAAGTTATTTTGGTCTTTAAATTTAACATTTTTACAATTTGGTTCTTTATTTATAACTTTTTAGTCCATAAAGTTATTTTAAATAACTACAACCGAAGCCATAAGGTATGTATTTTTTGTTATTTTTATCCATCTCAATATTGATTAAATCTTTTTAATGAATATTTTTTAGGTGGAATAGAGAAAATATTCACTTCATACCTAATTTATTATCATCCCTACTCGGAGGAAGTATGTGTTTCTGTATGCATATAATTGTTTAGGTCGAGAACAAAATTTCTCTTTCAATGCCTTCGTTGATGCTCGTAATTTATCTTTCTGTTACTATATATAGTTGGACCTTATATTGCATCACATAATTGAATACCTAATGCCTACTTAATTTGCTGAACTTATTTTAGTAGGTGGACAGACTCTGGAAATTTCATGCCTATTTACTGTGAAGCTAGATGCTGCGAATCCTATGTCACCTACGGAAGGTAAATGCTTCGTGAACCAAGCGTGAGCTTTTACTTCGATTTCCTGACAAAACTGCCAAAATTATTTTGGTTTTCCTTACGTACGTCACTGCCGACTGATTTGAATTTATTATGTACTGTCCTAAGCAAACAAATGTTCCTTCTGATGGGTAATATCATTAATCAAGTTTACAATATCACCATGCAATTTTTTCTTTTTTAGTAAGTAACTTTTCTTCGCTGAGATTATTTTGGAGAAACTTTCATATACTTATTTATGGATTTATTTTGAGAAAATAGATAGATGCAAGAAAGAAAAAAAAACATTTTTTACTCACTAAGAGTGATAAAAATATATTCATATAAATTATTTTTTTTACTTTTCTCTCTCTTATTTTTCTATTCTCTTTGTATCTATCTATCTCTCTTATTTGTATTTATCTCTTTTTTACAAAATTTTAGGTAGTTTCTTACATTCAACCAAAAAATCTATATCATTCAAAAACTAAACACCAATACTTAATCTTCATGAGAGAGACAAACACAAAAAAGAGAAAAAAATAAGATAGAAGATCTAAAAAAAAAAAAAGAAAAAAAATTAAGCTAGGTGGAAATATTATTATCATTTTTTATGGATTAGGGCATTATTTTCTCTTTTTTTTTTTACATGTGTGTGTGTGTGTCTGTCTATCTTCTTTTTTAAAAGTAAATCAAAAGACTAACTATTGTAAGTATTAGTAATTATTCATAACGTATTTTAAAATTTCTTACATTGAACTGGTATATTCATAAAAAAAAAATTCTTTTTCAATAAATTTAAATTTGAAATGATAATACGAGATGCATGACTTTTTTATAAGTTGAGCCAATACCTCGAAAATTAATTATATCTATCTAGATCTGACTAATTCATAGCAAATGTTTCACCCAGCTACTCTATATTGTTATTTTTAATGGCTATATATGTCTCCAAAAAAAATAATAAAATAAAATTGTAGCCAATAATTAGAAGTTGATTTAGAGTTAAATCTCTTTAAAGCCACAGTTGGAACTTCTTGTTGTTTACTTAATTAGGACTTTCCGGAAATTAGGAAGATAGAAGCAATCCATGAATATTGGTACGTTAGCGTTTTACAATCATCTTTAAGGTCTTATTATTGAATAGTAAATATCTTTTATTCTGAGTTAATTAATTCTTTCATCTTTTCAACAACTTCAACGGTGGTGTTGGATCATCCTTTACTGCTATTAATTTGATCCTCTTCTTCGAAATTGATTGATTAGGACTTGTGTTTTCTTTTTCTTCTTTTTCTTTTTAAATTTGCTTTGGAAATTAGTTGAGGCTTATTTTCCCTACATTTTCTTTATAGGCACATGCACACATATAACTAATATATAAATCCACACACATAAAATAAAAAAATAAAAATAAAAACTATTAAACCCTCTAAAATTTTTAAGGTTTCAGGGGATAATAAAAACATTATCAGTTAGTGGGGAGAAGGAATTTAACATGCTATTTAGAAAATTTGTCAATTTTGAATCTATATCTAAACATGATGTGTTAAAACATAGTAAACTATAAATTAATCTCTCTATTTTTGAAAATAAATTAATTATTTCTCTTTATTTGAAAAACTAATTATTGAGTTCTTTAATTCATGTTGATCATGTTTAATTTAATATTAAAATATCATCTTTTCTAGTCAATCATTCAATGTTATTTATTTCTTAAAAAAGAATCAAAATACATAAAAAATGAACAAAAATATATAATTCATTTACAAGAAATTTTTTTTAAAAAAATATAAAGACTAAAGAATTAGTTTTTAAAACAAAAAGGACTAATTAATTTGTTTTCTTAAACTAGAAAACTAATTTATTATTTACTTTTTAAAACACTACGTGTTTCTATAACGTGAGTAATAAAAGCTAATGAGATGTGACTCCAGTAGTATATATTATTAGTGTTTTTTTCTCTATCAAACTATTTCGAGTTCAAATTAGCCTCTAGGTGTGGGAAAAAAATTATTTGATAATTGTAATCAAAATTAACTGTCATTTTTTATGTATTAGTATGGGATGGGGAGGATGATTTGCCTAAAATCTTAACTAACTCCACCTATTAATGGTTACAAAGTTACAATCAATCACAAACACAAGAATATTGATACAAATCTTGATTTGCAAAGCCATAAAACACGAACATCAATAATTTCGTGTGTGACCATACATAATTTGGGTAATTCTCCTAAAAAAAGAAGACGGAATTTAATTCAAGAACCTCCCTTTTCTTTTGTGAAGTCAGGGGCCACATATTTTGTCCCTTAACAAAAATGTGCTAAAAAATTTTGTTTAATGGTATTGCCGTATTGCATGATATCCCTCTTCTATGAATATTCGGTTCTGCTTTCTTTTCTTTTCTTTTTTCTTTTTTTTATAATTGTTTAAAAATCCTACCAGTAAGATGCTTAATTAGGACCTGTGAACCAAAGAAAGATTACGATGGTACAGCTGGAGCATGGCCCGTTTTAAGTGAGCAAGCAATCAACAACTACATAATTAATTATTAAATCGCCTCCATTTTTTCTTCTTCCAATCATGTCGGTGTTAATCACGTCTTTGAAGATTTAGAGGCGATGGTAACTAATGAAGATATTTTAATACCGTCTTATATATTACAGCAAAAAAGAGCAACAAAATAGACTAAATAGTTCTTAAAAAAAAAACACAAATACCTTTTAATAGAGTAAATTATAAATCAGTACATCTAGTTTTACAAAATAAATTGAATAATTTTTTATTTTAAAAACTAATTAACTAGTCCTTTAATTAGTGTTGATCTTAGTTAAATTTAATTAATATTACTTTGTGCTAAAAAAAATACATTCTTCTCTCATCAATATTTATGTAATTTTCATTTTTTTTAGTATTTCTTGATATAAAATATCAAAATAAATTGAAAAAGAACAAAAAGAATTATGTTATAGATTGATTTAAAAATACAAAGACTAATTAATTAGTTTTTTTGAAATTAAAGAGATTCTTTAATTATTTTTTAAACAAATTAACGGGACTAATTCATAATTTACTCCCTTTTTTAATGCAGTCAGAAAACATGAACTCATCCCTCCTCTTTTGCCTCTTTCCTTGCTGACTTCTTATTATGGCAGCTTAACAAACCAATAAGACGAGGCTTATTAAGAACTCTTCTTCAAAAGTAGACATGAAAAATTACTGTGAAAAAGAAAAAGAAAAGCAAGAAAAAGGTTAAAATTCTTAAGCAACGTTTGACATAAGGAATAAAGTGGCGGTTATTAACAGATGAGCAAGATTTGGAATATTTTTCTCTTTGGTTTCCTCGCTGAGACTTGAAAAAGGAACCTCCAATTCATTGACCTAAGAGATTACAGACACCGAGTTACGGCACAATCATGGTAAAATGATTGCACGTTTATCGATCATTAATTATCCAGGAGTGGTGAAAGTCCCATTAATTGACATAAATTCTAAAGGTGGATTAATAAAAAAATCTAGAAGGTCAGATTCAATGAAAGATCATGTGGGGGTTAATTAATTTAATATTAGATATTTTAAATAATGCAGGCATACCATGTGAGGTCATTTTTTCAAATACTAATTATGTTTGTATGTTATAAGCCAATTTGAAGAGAAAGAAAATATTACTAGCTAGGCAAGAGTAAATTACAAATTTAGTTCTTTTTTTTTTTTTGAAAACATAAATAAATAAATCTTTCTTATTTCAAAAAAACAATTATTAATCTCTGTGTATTTAAATTTACTTGTAATTTAATTTTTTTGTTATTTTTAATTTAATTTAATTTTTTATTTCAAGAAAAAAATATTAAAAAATTGATGAAAAAAATATTTTTTTATATAAAAATAATATTAAATTAAGCATGGTAAACATTGATTAAAGGGTTTAAATAGTTTTTTTTTTTTAACAAGGAGATTAGTTAATTTATTTATAATTTACTCGTTTTTTTTGTTTAATGCAGTAATTAACAAATAAAATTAGGTCAAACTCAAGTAACAAGTTCCTTTCGAAAAGACATATGGGTGTAGCCTTTTTCAAGACTTAGGGACTAGATAGGTAGCTAGCGGTGAAAACCAAGCAGTTTGGCAAGGGAGACACTTCACGTGGAAAGATTCATATAATATGATGGGGTTTGGTATTTGTTAAACCCGATCCAATCTTTCCCATTTTTTAAGCTGAGTAAGATCTTGGTAGATAGGTGTATTCAAGACTCTAAAACGGCATCCTATGCTTCAAATTTGGAATGCAAGAAAGAAACGGAAACAGAAATAGGCAGGCAGGCCACGTTCTTGATCACGCACCTTTAGTGAAAGTGAAAAACAAAGGAACATTCTGCCGTACGTTGCTGATTTTTTGTCAGGAAAGAAACATATCTACTATCAAGCTTTCAGACCAATTTAGTGTTCACATGCATGCAGTATTTAAATTATAAAATCATATTTTTTTAAATGAGTTAAATTTTATTACTCTAGCTTTGAATGAAATTTATCTGATTTTCAATGTCAGATGAAGATATTTTGATATATATATACATCATGATCAAGACATTAAACAACTAGTGATGTTAGCTTGAGATGATTAACCATGTTAGAGTGAAAAAAGTCTCTCTTATCAAGAACTAAACGCTATGAAGATTTGTGATGGGGTTGGTTATTTTCCTCTCGTTGAAGCAATGCTAAAACGGTAGTAAAAACAAAGGGAAGATAGAGTTGGTGGTTAGAAAGCACATTTTGCAAGCAATCTATGAATGGTCTTGGTCATGATAGGAAATTGTAGCCATTTTTAGTTTGAAAAATGAATGATCCAAACATAAATAAAATATGTATAAATGTATATAAAAACAGTAAAATCACACTCATTATGAATCATGATAATTACACATACCAAATAAAAGTCAATATTAGTTTTTAAAATGAGAACATTATTGTGTTTTTTTTGTGATATATTAAAATTATTTTAAGGTGTAGAGAGCTAAGACTAAATTTATCCTCTCATTCTAATAACATGTAATTATTTGCATCAATTTTTAAAAAAATCAAGAATTTTGGTTTTTTTTTTTTGGTTTTTCAAACTTGTTATAATTCATGATTTGGTTGAGGAGGTTGACCTAATTATGATTGATTGAATATTATACCTAATCATTATCCAAAATTGAAATCTCAAGCCAGGTAGGAGAAATAAAATTTCAACTCCCACACGAATGGCTCCAATTTTTTATTATTATTTTTTTTTTACCAAACTGAAAAAATGAATATAATTTAGATACCTAAAAGTTGGAATGAGACGCAGCCAAGCCGAGTCCTTCTAAGAAAAAAGTTTGTGTTCATATTTCAGCGCGTGTATTAACATCCTCTTCAACGGCGCGTGGAGTAATATTAGAAGCATAGTTAACAACCTTTTGCCTCCAGCGTAGATGTCACGTTTCCCATGTCAATCAAGAAAAGTAGAAGGTCCTGAAATCTTAACCCGTCAGATCGTAGATTAAAAAAGAAAAAAAAAGAACTTACTCTCTGTTTCTGATCCTAACAAGATCAACCTGCGTTGTGACACGTGTCCCACTAAGGAACCTTTAGCTAGCATAGCTAAACCAATGAAAAATTGTAGCAACATCCTACGGATTTTGCTTCCATTTCTCGTCGGCTCTTCAATAATTGACTGTTATAACTGAGAAACTACTAAATAAAATTTGTATAAATAGAATAACGTAGAGTAAAAATGGTAATTTTTTATCATAAAGGTCGTGGCTTTATTATGAAAAATTAAAATTATAGTAAATTCATTAATATAGATTATGAACATGTCATATCGAGTGCAAAAATTGATTGTACAAATAATAGAAGACATATACATTTTTAATTCTATAAAATTAAATTTTTTACTGCATTAAAAAAATTAGTTTAATTTCGATCGATGAAAGGACTATGTGAAAAAATAATATATATATATAATGTTTTCATATGTATTTAAATTTTTAATTATATTTCATTTGTCTCTGAATATATTTAAAATATTTAAGTTGTCATTTAAGTCTAATTTTTCAACTAAATAAAATTTTTGATCGAAATATTTTTTATTGAAAAGAAAAAAATAAAATAAAAATTCAAAAATTCAAAAATAAAATATCTAGGTCATATGACTTTAAATGTTTTTATTTTTTGATTTTTTGCATTTTACTATAGAGTATTTTGGTTAAAAAAAAATTATATTTGAAAAATTTGATGAGAAGTATAGATTGAATATTTCAAAAAAAAAAAATTAGATATACATGAAAGACATTAGATATTATATGAGGATAAATAGGTATGTTTACCAATTAAAAAAAATTGTTTAGTGCACTCAACCATATCTAATATTACCTTTTGTTTTATGAAAATATTTAGATTACTTAATTGGGTCACTAGCAGTTTATCTAACCAGAATCCAAAGCAATTCAGCTGAGTTTTTTTTTTAAAAAAAAAAAAAAAAAATTCTAAACTACCTACGTGGGTTCTTAGCAAAAAAATAATGTAATCTGAATTTTTTATAAATCCACCAATTCGACTCATTTAACTAAGTGAATTTTTGTTCGAATATATCAAAATTGTTTGAATCAACTTTTGATTAAAAAAAAGAACATGTCGTGCAATAGTTATAAAAAGCACTACCGTAACCTTTTTTTTTTATTATTTTTTGAAATCATTGACTTTTTAATATGATAAGTATAAAATATCACTTATATGGTAAATTCTAAAATTTAATTATTTTTCTATTAGATCAGCCAAGCCATGCACCATTCCTTGAAAAGTTGAACTCTTATCTGTAGGTGGTGGTTTAGATCAAGAAACCCAACCCATCAACAGTAATATCTTTGTAGATAGAAAGGTATTCTACAAAAAGGTAACTAAAGATTCTCAGCCATATTCATCAGCTTATAAGCTAGCTATAACAGTTTTAACGATCCATGTCTTTTTCCTTACCAGATAGAAATACAAAAGAATAAATTAAGGCTAAGAACAAATAAAAAGAATCCAACGACACCTCTCCCTCACACACTTTCTTACCTTCCTAGACACGTCTTCATGATCTCTTTTTTCCTACATAAATAGATTACAAAACCTTGACAAGCCACAAATTTCTCTCAGCTCCTCCTCCTCCTCCTCCTCCTCCTTGCTTCTTCAAGAAACAAAAAAAAAAACAGAGAGAGAGAGAGAGAGAGAGAGAGAGAACCATGTCTAGCGATCTTGAATTACGCCAAGATTTGCCAAGGATTCGAGTTCCAGCTATCAAGATTGAAACCCTACAATCTTGTGGTGCTATGGAAAAAAATGCAACCATAATTCAACATGAAAACAGCGAAACTGACGACTGTCAAACTCCGAAATCTGAAGAACACAAGATTCCTGCCGTTTTAACTTGTCCTCCGGCGCCACGGAAACCAAGGATGATAGTTTCATGCAAAAGAAAACTGACAGAATTGGACTTCTTTGAGATCGGGAACTGGGAAGAAGTAGATTCGTTTTTTCAATCAAGTTTCAAGCTTATTTCAAAGAGAAAGTGCCCTTGTATATGAAAGGGTCGGATTTGTACCGGCCGCAGGGTATTAGCATTTTTTTCCTTGGTTTTTAATTATTCTTTTTTCCTTTTTTAAGTTCATAGGTTTATGTATAATTACACGCTTTAATGCCACAATACATGAGCTAAAATTCATGTTACAGGGTCTGTAATTCCAGACGATCTGAATTATGGTTTAAATTATTAGTATATGAATTAATTCTTCAAATTTATTCCCATTATATGTAGGTTTTTAACTTTGAATTTTGGTGAATTTGATCGGTTCTTGCTAGGTTTTGGTGCAATTATGAATTTATCTTTAATGGGTTTAATTGTTGTGAGAGGTAGAAAAGGAGACTTATTCATTGAAAAGGATATTGATTTACTAAAAGGATAGGTAAATGGAGTTGGTCGCTCGTTCGATTTTCTTTCCTTAAAAAATTAACATGAGTAAGAGTATTAATTCATTAATTAATTAGTTCTTAGTTGGTTAAGATGGTTGATTTGTTTCTGGTTTGACATGGAGATGCATGTGTTAGTGATTGACACGGCTTCGGGATTGATAAATATAATTTTTTTTTCTACGTGAGAAAGAGAGACAGAGAGGGGGAGGCAGAGGAAGGGAGGGAGAGTTGTAGTTATCAATGAGCACAAATTTAGGCAATGTGATAAGCTATTGCCATTAAAATTGAATGCGATGTTTTTTTGTCTTTATACGAATTTAAAAAATTCATTAAAAAATGTGTATTTTGCAATATTATATATAATGTTATAGAAAATAATAGACTAGCAAGGATAAAATAATGTATTGAAGATATTGGGATAAAATTAATAAACTTTTTAATTTCTTAGAGATGTGAATAAAATCTCCTTGTGATATTGGGGGATTTAATCAAGGCATACACTAACTCTAATTTTTATATTTTATCTAACTTCAACAAACACTCAAACGGAAAAAAAAATTGAAAATAGAGACAAATCAAGCTATTCTGCCTGGTGACGAACAGACATTGCTAGGAGGCGAAATATGTCTGTTCTCAAAGAAAAAAAAAATTGCTAGCCGATGGAATTTGAAAGATGTATAAAGATCCCAAGGATAAATTATAAATGGTCTCTAACATGATATTTAATTTATGGGCCATAGTTCATTTAAAGATAGCCCATGTGCCAATAATGGCTGGAGATTTAATTATATGATCGACAATATGGAAAAGTAAACAGTGAATATTGTTACACAAAATGTAGCTTCTTCAGGGCTAGCTGAATCATTTAAAAGGCCATGCAAGCGTAAGTTCAAAGCATATCTCAAGTCCCATTTTAGTAGCTTGCTTGATCTTTACGAGTCATCATGCCTTTTAGGAAAAGACAACAATTACCACTATTAATCAACAATAAAAGGAAGCCATTTTGGAGAGCTTAAAACTTAAGTCACTCTTCTCGCCTTAATTTTTGACGGAATAAAGAACATCTCTTTGTGAAGGAACGTGGGGAGAGAGAGAGGCATTAATAGCTAAAAGATGGTGTTACAATTTACAAGATGGCTTCTGCTTTAACATGTAAATTAAAAAGAATGAAAAACAATATCCCACCAAAAAGTTGAACAGAATCTACGTTCTTTTTTATTATTATATAATATTACTACTAATTACAGTAGTCTAAATAGCTAAATTCCGAGAATTGGAACCCTATAGAAGAAGAAGAATGATTAAATGGGCATGCTCCATTTATTAAATTTGCCGGGGACCCTATAGTTTTGTATAGAAAAATATGGATGAATGATTTTTGAGAAATTTTGATAACTTGAACTGCAAGAAGGAGGGAAATGTAGCACTCTCTTCTTCGTGGTTTTAGCATATTCCAAATGGAAGGTGTGTTAGCTAATTCTTCTACTATTAGACCTCATCGATGGGTTTGCTACCTTAGTGACTTTTGGTTGTGGGCAACCACATTCTCTCCAAAAGCTAGAGAAATTAATTAGATCTTGTAAACCAGAAAAAGATGCTGGTCTGCTGACCAAAAACGCAATGTTAAAGCTGCTATATAATAGTAAATGCACAATTTACTTTAATTTGCTCCTCTAAGTAGATAGTATCTTTCTTTATTTCTGCACCGTCTTCATTACGTATGTCTAGTGTTGTTTTTCTTTATTGCCGAAAGATTAGATAAACTTGGGAAAGGGACAGTAAAGGGAAACATAACATCAAGGAAGGTGAAAAAGAAAATCTAGGAAAAGTAGTGATAGGAAAAGTGATCTGATGAAATTAAACCCACAATTAGTTTGTGCTTAGAAATAATTCTTGAGACTTGGCTTGAGTGTTAAATGAGTTTATTTCTCACATTATCGCAGCAAATACCAATTTCAATTATTTTCAATTTTTTATGACTAATTTGAAAACAAAAGGACAAAAAATACTATATGCATTCAACAATATCTTTATAGTTAAAAACTTGAAAAAAAATTATATTAACATTCTATTTCTCTTTATAATAGCTTTTTATACTTTGCAAGAGAGATGGAAAGAAAGGAAAATGTATGGTCACAGGATTCTTACACTTGAGACACATCTTCCTTTTGTCTTGTGAGGTAAGACAAGTAGCAGACAAGTGCGTTATGCGTGAGAAAATGGATTCTTACAGAATTGAAGTACGTTTACAGAAGTAGGGGTCCAAATTTCACAGAATTCGAGGTGGTGATTTTGTACGTTAGCATGTCTACATGTCATGAGTAGATCAGAAAGATGAAGAAACAGAATTTACCGGGATTTGGAATGTAGCACACCTAGGAGGTAACTACCTAGCTAAAAGACAATCTACTGAGATTAGGCTTTATCAGTGTCCATGTCTGCTTCCATTTCGAGAGTGGTGTGTGCATTACATTACTAGGTGGTGTACTAAAATG